GCACGCCATGTCCGTCTGTCTGTCTGTCCGTCTGTATGTCCGTGACTTCACGTTTTCGTCGACGAGAAAATGCGCTCTCTGTCACTCACTGCAGTGAGTACTGAGTAATATTTTTTATCAATATTGAGGGTACGGGTATACAGTACACTGCCATTTGTCATAAAACGACCACCGAACGCCTGCCTCAAATACCCATGTCCACGGTCCTCGATATGAAATACGGAACCTTTTTCGCAGGACTTTGTTCCATGAACAAAATAAGAAGAATTACTAAGGAACCCCAGAGCATGACGACTGTGCTTACTAATAATTAAAAAATTAACGATATCTATGGTGCATGAAATTAAATTTACTGATTGGACTCTCGAAATTTTCGACGACTACAGGCTCTATTAATAAGGCTGAATATTTTACCAATGAAATTCTGAAAAATAAGTACGGCGCCACCTCCCACGGCTTTACATTTACAAATCAAACTGTAGATATAATTATAAAACTACCCTTAATGACTTGACATTCACAGTTCAAAGTAGAAAATAGCGAAAAAATTTGCGTACATTAGCAAAAAATATAACTCAGTTCTCACAGCAGTGAGTGACAGAGAGAGTATTTTCTCGTCGACGAAAACTTGAGGTCACGGACAGACGGACGGACAGACAGACAGACAGACGGACATGGCGAGCAAAATAGTGCATTTTTTCCATAAATAAGAAAATGCGCTAAAAAGCCTCTCAGCTTCTCGCATGGATACCGTACAGGGAGTTTAAAAAAATTCTCAATAGAAAACTCTATGCTTATATCGCTACGTGCACAAACTACAGGGTACACATATTACAGTGTAGAGCTTAAAATATATGACGAATATGAGGGCACACAGTATAAAATAAGATATGTATAACAGGGTCCATATATATAAATCACAAAATATATGGATAATATGAGAATATAGAGCCAACAATAACAGGCAGATATTAGGGTACAGCTCACAAAATAGAAGTCGAATCAGATGGAAAAATCAAAACAAAATAAAGGGAATGTGATGATACATAACACAAAATATTAGATAAATACGAGGGTATATCTCACAAAAAAATAGTTCGACGTGAACGTGTGATTGAACAGAGCACAAGATACAAAGCGAACATGAACAGAGCACAAGATACAAAGCGAACATGAACAGAGCACAAGATACAAAGCGAACATGAACAGAGCACAAGATACAAAGCGAACATGAACAGAGCACAAGATACAAAGCGAACATGAACAGAGCACAAGATACAAAGCGAACATGAACAGAGCACAAGATACAAAGCGAACATGAACAGAGCACAAGATACAAAGCGAACATGAACAGAGCACAAGATACAAAGCGAACATGAACAGAGCACAAGATACAAAGCGAACATGAACAGAGCACAAGATACAAAGCGAACATGAACAGAGCACAAGATACAAAGCGAACATGAACAGAGCACAAGATACAAAGCGAACATGAACAGAGCACAAGATACAAAGCGAACATGAACAGAGCACAAGATACAAAGCGAACATGAACAGAGCACAAGATACAAAGCGAACATGAACAGAGCACAAGATACAAAGCGAACATGAACAGAGCACAAGATACAAAGCGAACATGAACAGAGCACAAGATACAAAGCGAACATGAACAGAGCACAAGATACAAAGCGAACATGAACAGAGCACAAGATACAAAGCGAACATGAACAGAGCACAAGATACAAAGCGAACATGAACAGAGCACAAGATACAAAGCGAACATGAACAGAGCACAAGATACAAAGCGAACATGAACAGAGCACAAGATACAAAGCGAACATGAACAGAGCACAAGATACAAAGCGAACATGAACAGAGCACAAGATACAAAGCGAACATGAACAGAGCACAAGNAGCAGGGAAAAGGCGGGGAGAAGTCATGAGAGAGAGCAGGGAAAGGACGGGGAGAAGTCATGAGCAGGGAAAAGGCGGGGAGAAGTCATGAGCAGGGAAAAGGCGGGGAGAAGTCATGAGCAGGGAAAAGGCGGGGAGACGTCATGAGAGAGAGCTGGGAAAAGGCGGGGAGAAGTTATGAGAGAGAGAGAGCTTGGAAAGGCAGGGAGAAGTCATGAGATAGAGCAGGGAAAATGCGGGGAGAAGTCATGAGAGAGCAGGGAAAAGCGGGGATAAGTCACGAGAGAGAGCAGGGAAAAGGCGGGGAAAAGTCATGAGAGAGAGCAGGGAAAACACGGGGAGAATTCATGAAAAAGCAGGGAAAAGGCGGGGAGACGTCATGAGAGAACTGGGAAAAGGCGGGGAGAAGTCATGAGAGAGCAGGGAAAAGGCAGAGGGAAGTCACGATAGAGCAGGGAAAAGGCCGGGAGAAGTCATGAGAAAGAACAGGGAAAAGGCGGGGAGAAGTAATGAGAGAGAGCAGGGAAAAGGCGGGGAGAAGTCACGAGAGAGAGCAGGGAAAAGGCGGCGAGAAGTCACGAGAGAGAACAGCGAGTACAGTCATAATGAAGAACAGAGAAATCTTTTAAAGAGGTCACAAGCAAAAACAGGGAAAACAGGAGCAGAAGAGCAGATATAAGTAGCGATGAAAAACAGGCAGAATTCGCGAGGAAAAACAGAGAGAACTCGAGAAGAAATAAAGAAGAGAAGTAGGAGAGAAGACACGAAGAATAACAGGAACAAGTCATGCCGAAGGATATGAGAAGCTATGGTGAAGCAAATGAGAAGTCGTGGGTAAATGTGCAGTGAGAAGTATTGTGAGAAATTGAGAAATGTCAATGGAAAGTTTACGGGAGAAGCCATGTAGAGTCAAACGAGAAAGAAAAATCATGGAGTTAGTATAAGCTACGAAGAGAAGTCATGAACAATCAGAGGAACTTATAAAGAAGAATAAATGGGGACTATATCACGTTTAAACAGGGAAATAAATCCCAAAAACGTGGCGTAAAGAAATACTAGAATAAATAGGGAAAAGAACATGCAGAAATTAGGGGGAAAAGGATCGTTGTTATTGTAAAAAATGAGATTACAAAGCTGGGTGAACGTAACCACGAACGAAGAGGCTCAAGTTTGTAAAATATCTCAGGCAAGAAGAAATGACGTAGTAATTGCTCAAAGAATATAATTTCTTCGAAACCTTAATTATTTAACAACCAACTTCTAGCGTACCGGTATAACAGTCCAACTTGTTGGGCTATTAATTATTATTATACCTTAAGAATCCAGTACGATATGGGTATCAATCGCGTGATACGCGTCTTCGTTAATAGGATCGAACACTGGACCATCTCAAATTTAGAGTTTATATGGCCAAGCCAATGAAGCCATAGCCGCTCACTTACGTTCAACTAATTCAGTGAATGATCTCTTTTTTTTTAGCTCCCAGATTGAGTTTCAAGATGACACGGTGACCAATCAATGATAAGCCACGCTCTGCTTCAGGCAGTGAAAGAAATGCCAGACGTGGTAACAGAATAAGAAAGCAAACTTAACGGCAGGATAATAAGTCGTTATGTCGGGAGATACTGAGTCAATTTGAGGATGACTCTGAAGCAAAACGACTTGGCAGTTACCTCGGCTTTCGCGCGTAAGCGCTTTTAAGCCCATCGCCCGATAGGCTTCTCTGACGTCGCAATTGTCGTCCTTTCACACAATTATTAAGAACCATTTTAATTACATTATAAAACGGATTGGAAGTATTTCGGGCCAAATTGACCACTTTTATAAGTTTAAAATTCGACCAAGAACAGGGTTTACAAATTAGCATAGAAGAATTCGCCCCGGACACCTGGGAGGCAGTGAGCCATCTGCATGTCCGCCGTCCGGTGCAGCTGTGGGCCATAGGAAACAAATGCACCCACCCCTCCCAGTTCCAGGCTTCCACCGACACACTCAAGTCGACGGACAAACTGCTATGCGACAGGAGTAACAAAAAAAGTCACAAAAACCAGCACGTTTCTGTTTTAAGAAGGCAGAATCCAAGGAATGAAGCTTCATAAAGTTGAGACCCATTTAGCATGGTAACTTGATCAGTTTCAATACATTAGCAGAGCCAAATAACAAAAAAAAAAGTTTTTGGTTTTTCGATCCAATACGATTCTGTGCATTATTTCGAGTTTCATCCGTTCCATCCGTGTCAAACGCAAAAAGCGAAGAAGGTCTGAGCAATAAATAGTGATGGCGGAATTTACTCAAGCTAATAAATGAGATAACATGCTAAGAAATGTACAGAAACGAAGACAGTAACAACAGGCCAACACGGATGTATAAAGTAGAAGGAATTTGTTTGACCACAAGTTGAATATTTTGCCAATAAGGAACTTGATATACTTTTGTGAAAATATTGAATTGCATACAGCAGTGCCGTTATTCCTGATTGGCCGGAAGCGAGAATCGCGACAAGTTTAAACTATTTTTGGCTTGTAAAATAAATGTTAGGTCATAAATACAATTTTCGAAAAATCTTAGGAACTTCGCGACGACATCTGGAAAAGCTAGTCGTTTACCCCCCGAATTAATTTCGAATACATGGGTAACGTCGTTATCGAAAACATAATAACGATCTACAATTAAATAATCTTATAAAATAAGCTCAATAATTCATCAGAAAAATAGTTTACTGTCAATTCCGTGCATCTCGAGTGGCATCGATAGTCGATACTCACGCTAGGTCGCTAGCTACAATCGAGTAGCCTTAACAACTTACAAGTACAACCGTCCGCAAGCCCAAAGTTTCAAAATTACGAACAATGACTTATCACGAGTCTAATGATAAAGCACTAAGAAGAATTGAATTGTAATGCAGCCCTGATTTAACGTAGGAGAAAAAAATGTATTTGCAGTATCTAAAAGATCATTAGGTAGCTATTTGAAGTTGGACGGCATTTCGTAAGACCAGTCGCATGCCGACCCGATGGGTGAGGCGTAGTGCGTTTACTTCCTCACCATTGGCCAATACATCACACCGTTTATATGCTCGACATTACCTTCTGTTCGAACGCCGCTCTTCATACACCGTAAATCCGGCTTGAGCAATCCCACTAAGCTAACAAGTATAGGCTTCACGTTGAATTTGTAAGTAAAATCAATGCGTAAGTATTTGAGGCAACACGCGATCAACCGATTTAATGTATCACACACTGCACCCACACTCTTCGACTGCTGTCGGGCAACTGGCTAGAAATTCTAGAATTGAACGAACTTCGAAGGACGCATGATCACGAACCGCCGGCCCTGTGGGTTGCTTCTTCTCAAGGTCTATCCGGAAGAACATTATGAATGCAGAAACTTGATTTCCTTTTATTTTTTGGCAATTCAGGAAATTTACATGTAATATTTCCATATTTTCAAAAAAACAAAAGGTTGCTGGAGATACTGAAAAATATTACTTTGCACGTTATGATCTGCGGACTCTAGTGACAATAATCGAATTATTAATTCGTGTTTTGCTATTGCTTAAATGGACTTCTTAGAAATAGAAAAGTTTCAAATTTAATCTTCATAGACCATGAAGCATGCAGGCAAAGAATTTGTAGTCTACAGATCGACGCTGCCGAAGGCGGTCGCTCACACCACTTAAGCAGCTTATGTTGTCGTACAGTAACTCATATAACAGATGTTGCATGGTGTGTGCATAGTTTTTAATGAACTTCGTCTATATTAATCTAGTTTTCACTGAATTGCATATTGTTCAGAAAACTCTCAGTTCTACGACATTTCTCTTCGTCTCTGATCTTAGAATCCAAAGTTCTAACTTACGTTCCATCATAATTGCAAATGGCGATAAACTTCGCAGACATAATACGGTTATTCGAAATATTTTTGCTAACACGACGAAGTGTTTGCCAAGATACCGACCAACAAATTTTTATGACCTGAACCAAAAAAATTCTCTTTCAATCTATGATTACAACAAATACTTGAAATGCATGTCATGATGACAGAAATCTCACTCAGCGCATGCACACCCATCACGAAACAATTCATCAATGAATATAATTATTACCTCGCATGAGCAAATGCGTTCGCTAAAACACTAAAACAATTCGCGCTCCCATGCTGAACAAAAGCAAACGTGGGTTCGAACACAGGACATCGTGCAAACAAGCCTCGTTGTAGACAATCAAACAACGTTCAGCGAACTCTAAACACTGCAGCCCTCCAACTTTCCCTCGGACCAAGTGCGCGGCTTGTGCTTGTAACTGCGGTTTGCGTTCGAAAAGCTCGAGAAAACCTGATTTACTAAACTTTTGGAAAGTTTGGAAACTTTGAGGAAATTTCATCAAGATGGCTAGAGGAATATATGAAAACGTGGATGCAATCTTATCAAAGAGGCCTAGTGGAATGTGTGGAAATGTCATCAGTGACGCCTAGTGGAATGTGTGGAAATATCATCAGTGACGCCTAGTGGAATGTGTGGAAATATCATCAGTGACGCCTAGTGGAATGTGTGGAAATATCATCAGTGACGCCTAGTGGAAAGTGTGGAAATGTCATTAGTTACGCCGAGTGTAATATATGGAAATATCATCATTGAGGCCTAGTGGAATGTCTGGAAACATTTTACGTTTAAGTCTCATCACATCAATGATACTCAGTGGAATGCACCGAAATTTGAAGAAAACATTTCTTTCGCAGGCATTTATTTTAATTGTCAAAGTTTTAATTGCGTTTAAGGATGATTAAAAAAATGTAATAATCCGACTGCTATTTAGTTATTAATGAAAAACTCAGGACGAAAGATATAAAATTCATTCAACATTTTCAAAGCGTCTCGCTACTTAACACCTGAAATGAGATCCAAAAATGAAAAAAAATCGAACTCATAATTATGTTCTAACTCATAATTATGCTCCGTTAATGTAAAATCGGTTTGTGGCAGCAAAAAAATTTAATCGCCTCCATTAATTGACGGATATAAATAATTGGATTTACAGACACATATATTTGCCTTCAAGTATATCTTTTTAAACTATTATGCTCATGGAAACCATTATTTGGAAATTTCTCAACCGAAATTACTGTAAAAAATTGCACTGTCATTGAGTACGTATTTCATTTATTTCGCTAGCTCAAGGCAAGAGAAAATCTAATTGATCTTAATGGATAATAATTGAAGATCTTCTGCTCCGCGCTTCAAGATTCTGAGCATAATTGATATTACATTCTCGGGACGGCCCGAAGGCGTTCATTTGCAGTATTAGCGTTAGAGAGAATCGCATAAAAGCCTCTAGAGAGAGAGATACTTTTTAATGAGAACTGCAATAGAGGATCAAGAACGAGAGAAACTTTAAACATCAACTAATATTCATCGTACTTATTCAAGATCATCATACTAATTTCATTACACAAAGTTCGACGTCAGGAATTTTTCAACATTTTTAATGTGCTTTGTTGTGGAATGCCTGGATGTTGATCAACATAAACAATTGGACTCATGCACTTGGGTGGTATTTTAACCTATATGATACCAAATAAGAACCGGTTCAGAAAATCCCATATCAATATTGCATTTTGAAGTTAAAATTGCAGTAATCTTTTCGCCCTTTGATTTAAATAACCTAATTTAGTTTTGTAAATGAAGTCACGTCTCAAACGCTTATTTGGACCTCAATTTCTATGAGAATTTATTTTTTTTTTAATTCTACAACAGTTTCGTGGTGTCAAATAATTCAAGCTATTCTCCGCTCCTTGCCGAGAATTTGTTTCCAACACATATTAGAAATTGAAATATTTCAGTTTCGGTATTCTTGGTTTTATGAATCATTACGAAGAAATAGCGGCGCACAACAAACAAGTCCCAGTCAATTTACTTTCAATCCCGCGCGACCACACCAATCCCGACGATTGAAATCAGAACTGCCGCGTCTCAAGGTAACATTTTCAAGGAATTATCTTGTGGTGGTCTTCATATTTCACTAGGAGAGCTTTTAAGCGTCGTATATATGTCGTCCGTATCTCTTTTTACAGCAATACATTGCGCGTGTCGTAAAGTTGTCGCTCTAAGTGCTATACAAGCAGCCGTATAGAATGGCTCCGAGAACACCAACTTCTATCGCGAGAAACATAATCCTCGGGTAAATAAAGAGAGCTTTGGCTCTATGCTCCGTGAACTGATGCACGCAGATCGACAAGCGACAGGTTCATTTTTACTATGCCACGCACAAAGTGATGGAAAACTCCTGGAAATTTATATAGAAACGTTGAAATATTCCCATCTGTTCTTGAATAATAACAAAGAAGTTTATTTAAATGACGAGTAACGTGCATAAATAGCAAAACTGTCACATAAATGATATTTTTTCTACGATCCGTTCATTAACTGACATAAAACGACACAAATGAATGTATAATTATAAGACAAAATAAAGAGCAGGAGCTTCACTTTTCTGTCACGTTGTAAGAGAAGCCCTGCGGAAATTCTTCTATGTTAATAAATTAAATTATTATTCAAAATTGTTCGGTTGCAGAAATGCCTAAACAAATTTTTAAATTATGAACTAAATAAAAAATTAAATATTATCGATCTATGGTAGCCCGTGTCGATGAATTCTATATGCTCTAAGCCATCAATGTACAACAAAGAAATATTTTTGGCCAATTTAATTTGAACCTTGCAATACAAATTAATGTATTCAGAAAAATAAATATCTTATATTGTCCAAAAAATAAAACATTATTTTAGTCACAGCACGAGCAGAGAACAAAATTTATTAGGAATCAGCCATCATTATCATGTTTCTCCACGTATTATTTTCTTAATCACATGAAATTCTTTCATTTGTAATTAGATGCGCAGAAATACCAAAATGCGAACGCAAAATTTCAAAGATTATGATATTAAGTTTATAAATTCATTGCTTTATCGTCAAACATCATCAGCAAGCCGACTCCATTTCCTCAAAGAAGGTTAAATTTTTCAGAAATCTAAAACTAAAAGTAGAATAAAATTTATAACATCAATAAGTTATTAATATAAACTGCGGAAAATAAGGTTTGGTTTTATACTTTTGAAGTAGCAGATGTGGCTGGCATTTTTCAGGATGTTTCATGCACTATTATTCAGAAAACAAAAACAAAATGCGAGACAAATTTTATAACAACCATAATCTATTCATGTAAACAATGGAAATAATCTTTGTTTTTATATTTTTGAAGAAGCAGAAAAGGCCGGCATTTTTCAAGAGGTGTCATGCATCTTCCCACAGCTGTCAGCCTGGCCCTAACAAATGCATAGCCGGGGTGCGCTTATACTGCTTATCTGGGCAACGCATTTGCCAGTGCAGGTTAGGTAGGCCAGAACCCTGACTAAAGCCACTCATTTACCATTACTTCATGTATATACGCTTACTTATCAACACCTAAATTATCTGTAAAGGTTTTTTATACTCATACAACATCACAGTTGGATACTCATTTGAATGTTTCCCAATTCAGAAAAAAATCTCTCAACTGGCTTCAAAATTTCCCGACAGACGTTCAGCTGCACGTATTAACATTCGCCTAACGCAAATAAATACGCGAATAAACATGGGAAGCTCTTTCCAAAATATTGCGAAGAATTCACTCATGCACAGTTGAGTAATCAAGCGTGCCCTAAGAAGTGAATAATATTCGAATAATATAAAAACTCAATGACACGCAAGGTTATTTTCTCTGGGGTGTTTGTGAGGTTAGGTAGCTATTGCTGATGCAAAAGTCGCTGTGGTTTTATATTTATCAGAACGATTGTTAAGATAAAATATTTTATTCATTTTAATCATTATTATGCAGACCGCAAATATCTAAAAATATTCTAGGAAAAATATAAAGTAAACTGCTTTATTTTTTAAGTTTAAAATTTGATCGTAGAGATCACTCCTTGTCGCGAGACTTGTTGTTCCAAGTAAATGAGGCATGAGATGCATCACAAATAGGAATAGCAAGAATTAGGCCTTCTGATTATGTAATTTCAATATTTCTCGTTTTATTTCATGAATTACATTTATTATATACGAATATATAATTTTTATTTGAGTTTATTCATCCATATCGAATTTTCAAATTATAATATTCTACATAAAAACGGCTCAGTGATCGACGTTTTCTATGCGAAGAAAATATGTAAAATAGAAAATATTTGATGGTATAACTAATTTTATTCACTCGGCTCCAGCGTTGATATGTGGACTCATGCATGTC